GTCGACCCTGCTCTTCCCTGCCTTGCCGATCTAGACAATCTCTACCCTGGAAAGACTGAGTTGTACGTTTTATGCCGTTAGCAGTTTTTATTGAAGGAAGAAAATGCTGTCTTAATTCATTTCCGGTTTAAGATTAATTCTGCAAACATTGATTAAAACATGAAAGGCACTTAAAAAGCATACATATCTCTGAAATTATGAAATGTAATTTATACACGTTCACCATTATTCAGATCTGGGGCTTTGAATCCACTGGGAATTCAAAATGCTTTTCTTTTTTTCTGCTTTCTTCTTCTTCTTTTTTTTAATGTCAAAATGTTTGCCTGTTGCAAAATACCACCAGAATGCGGTACGCAGAAAGTTAGCAAAGCTTCCACTCTCCCCTCCCCTCCCCTCCGCAGGCTACAACCACCTCCGTTCATACAGGACCCAGAAAACATGTCGTTTTGGCTATGCCATGTGGCTTCTTGATTCAACTATCCATCTTAAAATATCATGGGCAATTAAGAGAGTTGTTCATTCAGATCTTCATCAATACTGAGTTTCTTTTAAAAATTCAGCACTTGATGGAAAGATGTCTTTGCAATAGACGAGATACTTATCTGTTTTCTCAACCATCTGTACGTAATTCCCAGGGTTTATGAGATTGAAAGCCAGTTCTTGTTAGAGACATGTATCTAGTTCTGTCACAGCTGCAAACGCAGTTGCTGCAGAAGCCATCTAATCTTCAATCTCCCGATTATTTCTAATGGCTGGATTAATGCACTAAGCACTTACTTTTGAAAATCCATCTCAGCTGTATTATCAGGACCATGTACAACGGGCAAACGGACAGAGGAGTTACAAAACTACTAGCATCTTTGACATGTATTTGGAAGAAATGACGCTTCAGCTCATTGTAATATTTCAGTGATAACTTTGTATAAGACAGAGACGGAGAGGGAGAGGGAAGGAGAACAAGTGAGAGGCAGTTTTCTTAGGAGGTAACCTGGAAAACACATACAGTGCCATACACAGACCTCCGAAATGGGCGGGAGGGATGGGGAGAAATAAAGTTCACCTCAAAGTCTCTCTCAGTCGGACAGGAAGAATGCTAGACTCTCAGAACTCATCCATATTTAATATAAAGTGTAAACATAGACTTGATGTAGGCTCAGCTTCAAAACATTATAAGGCAGTAATTAGAAAAATATACTTAACTTTTGTTCCCTTCTTACCTGGACAGGAACTAAATGTGCTAAATGAGATGGATGAATGGAAGTTAATGCCCTTAGGAAAGAGACCATGCAATATTAGGGCAACCCCGATACCTCCCAGTGAACCCGGGAGCCCTAAGTGGTGGTGGAGAAGCAGGTGGCTCCTGGTGTGAAGAGGGCTGTTTGTGGGCTGAGCTGCAGGGGACATGGGATCCCAGGGAGGTGTTTGAAGGGCACAGACAGGGCGGATAGGGGAGCTGAGGCTCAGGGAATGGCCTGCCAGGCTATGGCCTTCTGAAGCCTTCAGACTGAGTCCACCGTTTCCCCAGAGTCACCACTACCGCCCCCAGTGCCAAGGACACCTACTGCCAATCTTGGCGAATCTGTTTGCATGAATTGCTGGGGAGGTTCAAAGCCACCGGGAGCCCTGCCCGGCAGGTCTCGGCAGAAACTCAGCTCATAAGATGGGGTTTGTGTCTCTTCGAACCCCAGGCAGCAATTCCTGGCACACCAGACCCAGGTACCACTTGGTGGTGGCGAGTGGATGGGGGCTCATTATGGACCAGGGTGGGTTTTTGGTGTTTTGCTGGCTCAGGGTGGGGTGAAGGCTCCCTTCCCACAGGCTGAAACATCACAGTCGAGAGCCGGCATGAGCAGTGTTCACCCAGCACAGTCCAGAAGGCAGCTGATGCCCTGGGCACAGAGTGACATGGCTCATGTCCTCCTTGGTGTAGCCCACCTGCCCCCCCCCACTCCACCACCTCCTTCCCAGGGACCAGGGCTTTCAGGCTAATTTAGTCTCTGAGTGCCAGGGACGCCCTGGTCTCTGGAGCCGTCCGGAGAGGAGGGAAGCAGATGAATTTTTCAACGGCAGAGTGAGTGCGTGTGCGGGTGCATCCAAGCTGCAATAGCATGGTAAAATATTTATCTTGTTTTTATGGCTAACACGCGATCAATCGGGAACTCGCTG